CTGGGTCTATTCAACAATACAGCCCTTTCGTTAGCCTCCCCAATCCAGGTAAACAGCAACAGAAGGCTCGAAGCTTCAACTTAAGGGCCGACACGCGATCATGGCAGCACCTCACACCATGAACGTCTGGGGAGTTCAGGCGTGCCTGAGCAGATACACTGGAAGTTTCAAGCATCATGCAAGAAATGGACACAAAAGTTAGAAAGCTTCTCAATATTTCTCAATCCTATCAGATAATGCTCACCTAAAATGATTCTTAATTTGGGTGGAATTGCAGAATAGCAGTGAAAGAGAACCCAGCCAGTCAATCAAGCTGGACTCCAGGGTGCCGGCAACTCGCCGAGATGTACTCTGAGGAGACTGCCATCTTCACACCTGAAAGCGGCCCCATCTGCAACTTGCGCGGAAAAGTGCAGGGAAAAAGGGAAATCGCAATATGTTTTTTACTTTTTTTTATAGGGGGTGGCCTAAGGGCCCCCCCCTCTCACAGCCCCCCTGGAATAATAAAAGTATTATTCTGACCACCATCCAGATAGATTCTGAATATTATCCCAGTATGTCATTCACATTGAGGAATAATTTTCTGACTGCTGTACCTGACACATCCATCAAGTCTGCGTGTTGGAAAAGTCTGCGTGTTGAAATGTTTAGGATCTTTCCTCTTTCCTCTGATATGTTCGTGGATCTTCTGTTCTGTGTAGACCTTCTGGCTCTGAAAAAAAGGAGCGGCATTGCAGATACGGACAGGTTAGATTGTCACACCGTCTGTAGTTGAGGGTATGCAAATAGAGGGTGGCTTGCAAAATTATTCCTAAATTATTCTGAATTCCAGGGTGGTACCTTAAGCCACTACCTATCTTAAATATTATTCCATCGAAATTATTCCAAACAAATTATTCCAGTAGGTCAGATGACCCCTGGAATAACTAATTAGGCCAGCCCCTATTTTTTTTCTTCTAGGGCTTCCGGACGGTTTGCCCGAAAGAAACGCTGAAATAATTCGCAGCAGCATCTACAAGAGAAAAGGCTGCAGACGACCAAATCAACCTGTGCACCGTCGACCTGTTCACCTTGAACTGTCAAACAGTTGAGCTCCCCTGCCATACCCTGCTCCGTGCCCCAAAGCCCCAAAGGGTCTCCGTCCTCAGAAGCTAACAACAGTCCAGCTACATCATCCAAAAGGCAAGCACCTTCACACCCAGTGGCAACCCAAAACATTTGTGGCTCGCCACTCATACGGCTCACATATCTGTAGACAGTACAGTACCCATATACAGCCCTGGGCATTGAGTCTGAACTACGCATTGAAGAGCCTGTCAGAATCAGTTTTCTTCCAGCTGCACCTGCCGAAGAAACCATTGCATTTTATCGCGTGTTCAAACACTTTGGACGCACAAGCAGCGCAACCTCCCTTAGAGGGACTGCACTTCTACCTTGAGCTAATCTATCCCAAGAGTATTGAGTATTCAAGTATTCAAGATGGGAACATGCGGCGACTGGACCGTGACGTTGAAAGTGAGATGCATCTCTAGAAATGAATAAACGACGACCGGTGATCTGCACAAACTGAAGGAAATGCCAGAAGCCTTAGTGATGCAGCAACTCTCTCACTTCATCCATCCTACGGTCCAAAAGATCTCTAGCAGAGCGCTCTGCGAAAGCTTCACCGAGATATGTCAGAAGGCTCACTGAGCGTCTTGGACAAAGGGCGCTTCACCTGAATATCGATCGGAAAGCAATCCCCTTGCAATGGGAGATATCTTGCAACTCCGAAGTCTGAGTCAAGATTTTGTTTTTTTATAGATTTAATACTTTGGGATGGTTTCAGATCACAATCAATTACAATCAGTTCCACCATGTCGTACCCCAATGATTGTACCCAAGAACCTTGTACAAGTTCATACAATGTCCTAGTTGCTCCAAGTCCCCGCCTTCTTCGGGGATTCCATCTTCCGGGCTCGCTTAAAGGTCGCCAGGACTGCTTTGCGCACCAAAGCGTGCTCCTGTCGTTAGATAGTCCATCTTCGCCTGGATTCATGATGATCTATCTTGGCATTGCTAAACAGTGCCATTGGGAATCATCACATCGTTTCTAGAGCCCGCCCAACAGTGATAAGGAATGGTGAGCGCAACGGTTGGCCAGTGTCCTCGTGCGAGTTCTCATAATGGTCCAATGTCCTTAGTGTCCAATGATTGCAATGAGCCATCTAATTGTCCACTAATTCTATGTTGTTTCATGTTGTTTCAATCCACTACCATTTTGATCCTTGAGCCATTGCAATGCTGATGTTCAGTTACTCACACCGAAAGCGTGTGAAGCCTCTTTGCCGAGTTTCTTGACCGCCTCAAAGTCGACTTTACAGCCATATTTCTCGAGCCAAGACCTTCCATCAGCCTTGCAGGTACACAGTGAGGCGGTTTATGAGTCTATGAGAGTTGGGAAGTTGAGAACCCCAAAATTGGATGATTCCATCTATCATAGGCGTGATTGATTGATTTGGATTGATTTGAGATTGTTTGGGGTACCCCCTTTTGAAGAACCCGCATGGATGTCAGTCAATCCATCAAGCCCAGCTTTGTACAGTGTCTCTGAGATTGCAAACTACTCATCTTGCTCACCTGGTTCTCAAGCAAGTAGACGTCATCCAGGACACCCGCAGACATAAAAATGCGAGGCTTTGAATGATAAATTGGCTTCTTGGATGTCTTGTCACCTGGAAGCACCAGAACAGAGTGGTGGCTTCAAACTGGTTCGTCATGATTGACTAGCTTGGAAACTGCCAAAAACAGGTGCTCGAAAAGCTAGAGGGCCGGAATGGCATGAATTATCAGTAGAAGCTCTGACAGCCAAGTTGCCATGATTCTTCTCTGTCTTTTCTGTCTGTGAAGCAGCTTCCCCGTTCACAGAGTGGCGGTCCATCCTGATCATACTGGTTGTGATTACCATACCCCAAGCCCACAGATCAAAACTGATGTCAGTAGTAGGTGTGGCAGCTCCTATGTGACGTCGATGAGCAAAACATGTCTGAGTTGGTGACGCACTACAAAAACGCTCGGCCCGCTCGGCAAGTTCATTCATGCTGGACCCAATGACCCTCTATGGCAGCAAACAGAGTCTCTGATCAACATCCCAGCCCCGTACATGTGGATAAAATTTGAACAAAATTGAGCATTGATATATAATAATACGAACTTGAGAACAGGGGGGTGGACGAAAGGTTGGTATGCAGCGGAAAGAAGCGGGAGGACAGCAACCCAAAACAAAAGCGGGTGTAAAGGAAAAATGACAACGGAGGGACGGGGTGAATGTGCAATGACTTTTTTAGATAAAACCAATTGAAACCATAGTGTATTCTGTATTGAGGTCTCGGGGTGGAGGGCGCAACTGCGTGAACCCAATCTGCGGCAGCAAAGCCGCAGCAGCAAAGCAAGAGCAGGAGCAGCACCAGCAACAGCAGCAACAGTAGAGCAAGACAGCAACGGGAAGCTGCAAAGCGACAGCAGCTACACATGCAGCAGCAGCAGCAGCAGCAGCAGCTGTTACAGACGAGGATTGGACCCGAGGGGGAGCCCCGTGAGGAAGAGTCGCCTCTCGTGACCTCAAAATCAGGTCGTGTGGGAGGATCCGGGTCCTAAGCTAAAGCTAAGGAAACTCAAGGTTGCTGAAGCAACCTTTCGTGATAAATATATAGATTTCATACGGCAATAAGATCAAGAACCCACAAAGAACGTCTTGTCGACTCGTCGACTTGTCAGGTGTTTGGCACCATCCAAGCTTCGTTTGCTTCATGAGCATCCCTCGTTGGGAGATGATCAGGCCCAAGTCATAGGGCAAAGCCAAGCCAACAGCCAGGCTGATGCATCCGCCTCACCAGGGCTTGGTCATGGCCTGTTCTGATGCATTTTGTGGGGCTTGTAACATGTTGTTGTCAGATGTGATATAGCATGATATAGCAATGGAAGTGTATTTTATACTAGCTGATGTTCATTAAATGATATTCAATTCAATGACCTTAAATGTAATAATGTAACCTTGATATGTATCGTCTGTTTTTGAAGCCCGTAGGTGGCCTTGAGAATAGCCTCCCAAAAGTACACGGTCAGCAGCCCCCAGTGTCGTAACCTCGGAAGCCACCTCAGTGAAGCTTTGGCCATTGGCAGCTTGGGCCAGCGCAGTAGACATGCAGAATAACTTGTGAAGGTTTCATGTAGTTCAATGATCAAAAACCCTGGAAGATCACGGAGTTCCTGAGATCTCGTACCAATCACATCCGAGCACGCAACATGGTACCCCGATAATAAACTGTGCCGTCAGGCAGAACAGATTTGATTTGGCGATTGTTGTTGCCTGTATTGACTGACTGTACTGTCCATATGTCTCCGTCAAATCCAAGACATCCGAGGCGCTACACCAGAAACAAAGTCGACAGCACGTTGCAGATCACGTGTGGAGATGATTTCAGCGTGGCATTGGCGTGTGCCTCCTCTGTTGCTCCTCCAGCATGTCCAGCAAAAGCAGGGATGGAAACTGTGCTTCACAAACTTGCAACAAAACGTTCATTCTTCATTGTTCTGCGCAAAACGCAGCTCCTGTATCTGAACCATTGCCTTAGATATTATGGGTTCTCATTCCACTAAGCATTCAACAAGGACTTCAATGATTGAAACACTTTCCCTCCACATTTCAACTCAAGGTGCTTGCCCCATTCAATGTGACGAGCACCTGCGACTGTGCCAAGAAAAAATTTGGGCTGGGAGAACGCAGTTTCATGACAGGCTTTCACACAGGTCTGCAGCTTAGAAACCAGGGCAAAGGATTTTGCAGTAGTCACGAATCGTCTTGCTCTGTGCCTTGGGTTTCTTATGGTTTCTTTCAACAAAATGAGCTGAACTTCTGTGAAGGATTTCAGCTGGATTCCCAAACTGAGATTGTTGAGTCCGATGGCTGTTGTCAGCTGCCCTCTCGACTTCGAACATGGCAGGACTGGGGTTCCAGCAAGGAGATCCTTCACCAGACCCTCTGGACCAAGAAAGAAGGTGGAGTAGCAGCCCATTGGATGACACACCACCAGAGAGAAGCGGTGTGACTTCCTTCGCCACGCAGTCCAAAGAACTAGCAAGCACGGTTTCTAACGAAATCCAACTGAAATGGCATGGGTTAAACTACTGATTAGACAATAATGGTACGAATACATCAACAGGTCGACTTACCTGTGTGGCCGTCGCTCATTCAGTTTAAAGCAATGCAACTGCAGCGTATACGCCAACTGCGATATTGAAGGCGTTCTAGTTTTGGCAACATGCATTACACTCAACCGCCAAACACTCTTAAGCTGCCCACACTCATGCAGTCCTGGGCATTACTACTGGGAATGCTGGAAATCCGGAATGTGGTCTTTTGACCCACTTCCATTTGATGAGCACCTTCTGCTTGGCCTCCTTCTTGCGCTTTGCATCCTTGGGGCTTTTGACTCCACATGCACCGTCGTCTTTCTGAAGTCCATTCAAATCTATCGCAATGGTATCTTTACTCTTTACCGCGGCTTGGTAGGTTGCGCCCTTTTGTGCTCTTGAGCCAACATATCATTAGTGCAAACAGTTCACCCTGGGTTTAACCCTCTGCACTACTCTCAAGAGGGTTGATATGCACAACTCTGCACATGCGATGTTCATGAAGTACACATAGATGCAATCCACGACATTTGGGCTTTCCGTTGGCCTCTTTGGAGTCGGCCTTCTTCAGCTTTTTCACCTTTGCACCTTCTTTGGATGCAAGGCTGGACTTCCTGGAAAAGGTCAAGATGCAAAAACACCCATCAGTGGCAAAAGTATGCAAGAGGTTCTTGTTTGCAAACAATCCAGTTAAAACTGATCCAACTTGAAACAATCCCATGTTAATCAATGTGATTGGAAATTCATGCGCAACTCGTAAAAACTAATCTCTGGAGGCTCTCTACCTGACTTCCCCCTTAAGGTCTTTCCGCAGTTCAAAAATGGAACGATACTATTCTATTGAATTGTATTGAACTATTTCAACCATTTCTGAAATGCTTGCCAACAGCACTCCGAGAACTGTCCTGACACCCTTTGGAACCTTTCCTTCATCCAGCTTTAGACGAAGGAACGCTGCAGCCTGAAATCCAAGAAACTCTTCATTGATCAAAAACACAATGCAAACACATTGCCAAATTGTGTGTTTCCACACAAAACATGAAGCCACCTTCGTGGTGTACTTCATATGATCCAACGTATACTGCAGCGTCTTCCGTTCAACCTCTGTCACTCCTACAGGTGAAGATCACATCAGAGTGTGAGCCAGCGACTGAAGATCTACATGGGATTGCACAAAAAAAAACACGGCGTGTTTTAAAATGTCCCCCAATCACGTTATCGTTGTCTGCTATTCTTATCGTGTTCTCAGGTGGTGGGCTCTCTGTGCTAAAAATGTGATTTCCAGCTTTCTATCCCTTCGTGTTTGATTCATGTCCTTTGGTTTTCCCTTCATTTCCTTTCAGCGTGCATTCATATCCTTTTATGTTTCCTTCATGTCCCTTTATTTTTCCTTCATGTCCTTTCATTTCTTCTCATTTTGCATTCGTGTCCTTTCAATTTCCCTTTCATGTTGCATTCACGTTCCTTTCATTGTGCATTCCTGCATTCCTTTTCCCGTTCATTTGGGCAAAACCTGGATAGAAAATGATGTTGATGTCCAGTCTCAATTGCAGGTCTCTGTGCTTTCTATGCTTTTCTGCCAGGCCATGTTGAAAAATAGAAGGCATCTGGGCTGTCCTTTCCCATCTTGAGATGACTGCCAAAGGCTGTGCGCTTCTGCATACGAGATCTGACCTTACGAGGACACCACCCGCCGTACGTAGACGCTTTTAGCAACTTGAGAAGTTCAGAAGGAACATAAAGGAACTAGGGAAAGCACCATCCTTTACAAAGCGTTCTGCCATTTCCAGCAGCTCTCCTTGGTACGCGTAATTATGGAATTGCATCAATTGACATCACACCACACTAATTTGGCACGAATCATTCCTCCAGCTTTCAATCAAACGTTGTTTTGAGATATTTGATGACATTCGGATCCACAGCAACACGAGCCGCTTACAGTGGGATGTCACCCCAGAACGTAAACAATGGTTGCCTTTTCTTGAAATCTTGTGTTCTTCCAAGACTCTGTCATATCGCTGTCCATGCACCTTCAGATTTAGCCCAAGCATGCAAGGATTATATACAGTCGACTACAGTATCGGCTTTTCCAGTTTGCAAAGAAACAGAAATGAGGAACTTCCAACCCAAAAGCAATGGCCTCCAACCTAGTTGCGAGAAAGAAGGCTCTTTTGCGCTGCGAACTTCCAAATACACTCGAAAACCGCCCGTCTCCCGACCTGGCGGTAGTAGCTTGTCTTCTTCGGACTGTGCAGTAGCGGCTGTATCCAGGCCATTGCTTTGTAGGTAAAGTGGAAGGTACGGGTGATATGTCGCCTCGGAATGCTTCAGAACGGGTAGCTGGTGATCAGCTGATATTCCATTTGCACGCATCTTTCAGCTCCATCCAATCCAGTCTGCCACATCCGATCCCATCTCAAGAAAAACATCCAAAAGCAACATCTGAAAACGCCTTGCAAAGCCCACTGACCCGAATGAATGGTCCTTAAACCATTTAACTCGCCCCCTACAACACTGCCGGCTCTGTCGTATGCCATGCAACAAGACTTCCAGTTCCTGGGGTGAAAGGTGTCCATCTGCCCACAGCTCCTCTACAAATGCCCCGCCAAGAGATGAGAAACCATCTGCTTAGCGGCTTGCGGGGCCCTAAGTCATCCTTCCAATGTAAAACTGGCAAAGACTTGTCTGAGTTGGATACACTGATACACATCACGTTACTCACATCACATCACATCACAGCATGAAACAGTTACAGGCCCTTGCTGGCCCTTCTGGCAGTCAGCTTTACGCAAGAGCTTGCCCGTCCTTCGCCTCCGAATGTGAAATGCGGCCATCACTTGCAAACTTCTTCGCCTGCACCGAATTTTAGTGTGATACAGTGGCATAGATTTTTTGGGAGCTTTGGACTGCTACTTCTAGATGACTTAGAATACGGAGCCGCAATGAGTCTAGGATGAAAACAAACACTAAATCTTTGCCCAAATCTGCACCTTTGAAATATATCAGGCTGGCCAGGCTGGGTGTGAATGATTGCATTTACAGCATCACTCTGCGTGTGTAGTTGCAAGATGTTGCAAGTCCCTTGGCGCTCTCCCAACGGATATAGTTTACCCGAGTTTACCATCGTTAGAACTGCAGGACCTTAGGATCCTCACCTTGAGAAACAGCTCAGTCTCCTCCAAGGCAGCAGTTTCTGGGGCTGGGCGCTTCAGCGGACCCATGGCTGCCAAGCAATATGGGACCAAACACAAAAAGCATCCCCTTTTGAGTTTCCGTTTTGGTTGGTGATTCCATTGTATACCCTTTTCATGCAGTAGTATATATATATAGTTATATAGACATATACCATTGCTGTGATATGTTAATCCCCAAGGTTACCCGGATGTTATACCCTTGAGATGCTGTACACTGTATATTAATGCGACGCTGAGCAATGGCTTTGGCCTATTTCGCCTTTGAGGCTTAGAGGCTGCACAGCACGCAGGGTCTCAGGCACTGTGTCCAAAGATCATGTGGTCGGTCACACACTGAGGATGTCCGATTTCTTCCCACTGAGGCGCCTGCTGAACAAAGGGGAACAAATTCCACGCGACTGGGCCACTGGGCCACGTATTCCCTTCTCGCCCTTCTCACCATTCTCGCCCTGATGACATACGAATTGTGAGCGTTCCGGCTGTGAGCGATCGACTCCTGGACTGCTTGAAAATGGCATTCATTGCATGAGGTGATGACGAAAGCCCTTGCGCTCGCCACCCAAGCTGTTTCCTTCTTGGAAGGTTCATATGGGCATTGGAAGGCCCTGTCTTCAACGCTTGATGTTTCCTTCTGGCTTGATCCGCTTGAGCCATCATTTTGGTGCGCAATGAGTACATCTCGGACACTGGGCATGGCAGCCGGTTCCTCTGGTTGCAATGTCGGAACATTCACGGGGTTATGTATATTCACATTTATATTATATGATATGCATATAATCTACATATATATTTGATGTACCAATGTACAAAATGTCAAAAAGGCTTCCAAGAGAAGGGAGAGTCGTCGAGCGAAAGATGTAGCCAAGCTTCCCGTAGAAGGCAAACATCGGAAATGGCATGCTTTTCACTTGTCAGACAGACACGGGGATGGCCAGATCGCAAAAGTGGAATAGCATGTGGCCAGGGCATAACAACCATCTCACTCAAACAGTTCTCTCTTCTAGATAGCTGAAACTGACGTTTGGGCGGATGAACATGCTGGCTGCATGTATTGCACGCATGTCAATCCAACCGAATTATACAAAGGCGTAAACGACATCTCAGACCTCGAGATCGGCTGCAAAAGCCTTTTTCCACGCTGGCATTCTGGGTCCACTATCTGCACCATGGGCCACCCTCCGACCGTCTTGGCCTAGTACATCTGCTCTGAGAAGTGTCTACAGAGCTCAAAGGCCCGGATCATGCAGCTCTTTGACCCTTGACCATTGAGAAGTCCGCCTTCAAGCCATCCACGCTTGACCTGTCAGCGCTTGCGAATCAGCTTATTCAAATGTCAGAGGACTATGAATCGGAACAAAGACTCACGTAGGACCAGCTGGTGATTTTAATGCTTTTACTTCTCGAGGACTTGTGTCCCCCAATTTTCCCGACATCTCCAGCTTTGTTTGGCTGTCTCACGCGATGACCTTGCTACACTCTGGACAGCCTTATGCGTTCTCTTCAGGGACTGATGATTGTGGCCTCAGGTTGGCACAAGTTCCCTCCCATCAAGAGCTAGTGACCCAGTCACTCCACATCAGCAGGCCTCTAATTTCACATTTGTTGATGTCATGTAAAGAATATGTAGATTTAGATGATCTAGATTTTAAGCATGCTGAAGTAAGGCATCATAGCACAAGTCGTGCAAAATGCAAAACCCAGTTTGGGCCACCGGTCCACAGAGAAGGAGCCTCAGCGGCACAATGAGCAATGATTGGCTTCTATGGATTTCTGGATCTGCCCTCGGACTTGGGGAGGCATGTATTGTGCAGGCCAATAGCGGGTCAAACAAGCCAGGATAAGGTAACAAGATGTAACAAGGTACAACTGACGAGAGGAGGGAGTCCTGGGGACTGGTTGAGTTATGTTGAGTTTGGGGCAAAGTCGTCGGTCTCCATTGCCTGGCACGAAAACCTCATCCAAAAAGACGCCAAAGCCATGGCCAAACACCTTTAGACGAGACAATAGGCCTGGAGGATTGCTGCAGCTTCCTCCAAACGACCATGTCGTTGACCTTGGCAAGCTGAGGCAGGTCCAAGCTGCAAAGCTGCGTGATCTTGATCGGCACTGATTACTCAACCCGGGACTGGGTCTATTCAACAATACAGCCCTTTCGTTAGCCTCCCCAATCCA